ACAAAAGAAAGTTTTATTGTGAAATATTCTTGATTAAATATTCGTAATTAGAATTTAACTATATAATATAACTGATTCGTATTTTAGTATATTTTTTAAATGTTATTTATTCCTGTGAAGTCAAAGCTGAATTTTCAGCAGTCTTCAATGTCACATGAACTTTCACAAATCATGATCCGGTAGTCAAGAAACCTTTTTTGTGGAAACCATGACATTTTTTAAATAGTAAAAAATTCTGTGTGTATACATATATATTATATAAACTCTTTCAGTTGTCTTTGCAAACATGATCTCCCACCTTGATGCCCTCTATGCGGAAGCCAAGAGTGGTGGTTGAGCTCAGTGTCTCCCTCCACTGCATGTATCGAGGTTTGAGAACCGCCTGCTGGGCTCTTTCCTCTGGACTGGGCGCTCCTGGATCCACAGCCACCATTTTTTCATACATGTCCTTCCTAAGACGAGGACGTTCACGGGCCTTTACCAGCTCTTCTTCCAGGTATGTCCTGTGGTAAAAAAAACCCCAGACCCAATTAATCACACACCAGCATTCGCACATCAGTTTGTGACGTCAACCTCACTCTGCCACCTTCTGCATGTGTGTGTTTTATTCTTTACTATACATTTAGTTTGTTTGGTTAGGGCGGTTTGGAGTTGGGCGGTTTTAACAAATAAGATCTTTGTAAACAATAAATCCAAACATCTCTATTCTCTTTAATCTCTAAGCTTTTTCTCACCTGCTTCCCATCTTGCAATCCATGATTGAAGGGGAGTCGAAGTCGGTCAGCAGATCATCCATTAGGTTGTAATCATGGTCGTTCTGCTGCACAATACCATAGTAACCAGGTACAAACGGCCGGAGGTTGTCATTCATCAGCTTCTCCAGACACTGCTGCTCACATTCACAATACTTTTTCAACAGTTTCCCATACTCGCCTGCCTGGAAATTATCTACACGCAAAGAGACAAAAACAGTGTTCATTTCATCAGTCCAAAATGATGATTTTTCAGACACAAGCTTTTTCCTCAATACAGGAAGGAGAATTAGTTTTTACCTGCGTGGCCTGCGAGCTGAACCCAAGGATATAGTTTCTTAAATGAAACCACAAATGGAGAGCAATGCACCATGGTCTTTAACTTCCTCCACGATTTAGCCTGAAATCAAAGATCACATATGCACAGATGAGACCAACATACTGCATTTTCTTTCATTTATTTTCGAAACAGAACAGACTAAATACGTGAAAACTATACTGATTTGTGAAACAAACCACATCTTTTTTTCTCTAAACAAACATTTAGTGTCTAGACTGAGTTTCTGTAAAAACACTGACACTGTTTTTTTTAGGCATTGGAACTAAAATCCCAGACTGAGTGAGGACTTTATCAGCGACACAAGGTCAACAAAGAAGCCGTGATGCACACAGCCTCACAGATTACAGGTTATTGATTATACAGCTCTGATCGATGAGGAATGTGTGAGTGTGGGAAATGACTTAACCCAGCTGTTTGCAAGGGAACTAGAAAAACCTCTTCATGACGTCCTGGGATGCCACTCAAACTTTCACAATCACTGACAACTTCCTTCCATAATTCCAGAATAGTTTACAGAATATGCTTGGTACCGGACCTTATATAACTTGTGAAAAACTCACATACAAATACTGGAGAATACTACTTAAAAAAAGTTTTTGAGTTTAGAGGAAAAAATTATGATGAATTAAAGTTACAAAAATATAAAATTAAAACAATTATATAATTGTTGTTATGATCACAACAACAATTTTTTATGACATTATTTTATATTAAATTGGGAAAATGCATTTTTCTCTTGGTCTGTCCCCTTTCAGGTCTCTTTTCTTTTGTCCCCTTTACAATTCAGACATTCACTCCCTCCTTCCAAACCATCCCCCCTCTCAACGTGTGCTCTGTAAAGTCGACAGCTCGCTCTCCACACTTAGATGTAATTCAGTTTGTCCTCTCTGTTCCTGAATGACCCCCTTTGAAATATAAAATTAAAACAATTATATAATTGTTGTTATGATCACAACAACAATTTATGACATTATTTTATATTAAATTGGGAAAATGCATTTTTCTCTTGGTCTGTCCCCTTTCAGGTCTCTTTTCTTTTGTCCCCTTTACAATTCAGACATTCACTCCCTCCTTCCAAACCATCCCCCCTCTCAACGTGTGCTCTGTAAAGTCGACAGCTCGCTCTCCACACTTAGATGTAATTCAGTTTGTCCTCTCTGTTCCTGAATGACCCCCTTTGACGACACTATAGCTAACAGGGGACAGATGACACCTCATAAAAAGCCTCTGTATTTCTTCCTGTCCTTCTGCATAGTTATACACACTTCTTGAAACTTCAGGCAAAGTATTAATTACAATTCACTTTCAAAACAGGCACATGCGCTGCAGTTTATGAACGGAAACAGTATTTCATATATTTAGACATGAACATTTCTTGCCCAAAATGACTATCTATTGTGAAAAGGCAAACTGATCATTTCCACCATTGTTAAACAATTACAGCATTATGTTTAATGCGTAAATACCTCATATCTCAATTTTGATTGCAAAATATGCTAACGACTCATGACTACCACTTCCATTCTAATAATTCTAGAATATGAGAGGTTGTCACGGTGGTAATGGCCGGCTTTGAGGAGAGTCAAAGTGAGATCTACCCCTGGGTCAATGGTCAAACCCACCCTGGACAAACAGAGCCGCTCTATCTTCATGTCTGACTTATCTCAAGGACTCGCACACACACACACACACACAGATGGTTTATTTCATGGTCATTTGTCAGGTTACTGTTAATAGCAACAATAACCTGACAAATGACCCTGAAATAAACCATCTTTACAGATCAAACCATCTAAACAGATCTACTGCATATCTGACCCACAGAACCCTTTTCTTACAGTTTATATCTTTAATTACAGCATACTTGATGAATAGAACGTTCAAAAGATCCGAATTGATTTAAAACAGAAAACTGTTTCGTAAAATTTTCGTAACATTATAAATGTTATCACGGTCACTTTAGATAACTTTAATGCATCCTGGCTGAAAAGTATTTCTTAAAAAAACCTGCTTCACTGCTATATAATATTTGAAAAATGTATTTCAGCCAAATAAAACTCACGTAGTGAAACTAATATGAAAAGCAAAACAAAAACAGGAAACAATATTATACCCCATCATAAAGCATGACTTATTGAGAAGGCAAGGTTAAGTTCAAGTGTAAAATGTCATGTGCTGCACCTCCTCAAAAACATAGATATTTATGATTTAATATTTCATGATATTTGTAATAAAATAGTTTTAAAAATACTTGTGTATTCAAGAAATTAGGAAAATAAGTTATTACTTTGTACTTAATTGTTACACCACATTGATTGTTACACCAATTTGATGTCATTAAATAGATTTTTTTTTGAAAAGAATATAAAAACTTTATGAACATGAATTCAAAGACTACATATCAAAGAATGGCACATGCATTTTAAAATAGATTTTTAAAGATTTTTCCTTTGCTATAACATGGACACTCTTATTTGTCATTGACCCTTTTGCCAAATCGACCCAGCAGTGTGTACGTGTGTGTGTGTGTGCGCGCGTTTTTGTTTCAAATGAGGATATAAATTTGTATAATGACAAGGGTATGACATAGGTATTACAAGGAGAAGGTGACTTTTCAGGACATTACCCCATGTCCCCACTTTTCAAAACGCATATAATTCACACAGGGTGGAGTGTATTGAAAAACTGAAATAGCACAAAGTTTCCTGTGAGGGGTAGGTTTAAGTATAGGGTTGGTGTAGGGCGATAGAAAATACGGTCTATACAGTATAAAAACCATTACGCCTATGGGATGTCCCCACTTTTCACAAAAACAAACCTGTGTGTGAGAACGTCTCTTACCTGGCAAGCAAGACAGCAGGCAGACACAATGTATGCACAAATACAAGCATGCACAACCACACACTTAAAACACAGACTTCAAACAAGCGTGCAGAGACCCACGAGTCCCGCACTGCCCTGTAACCACACATGCATCCGGGAAGCAGACTGAGCTGTCACACACACACTCACATCATGTGCATGGAGCACTGATTACCTCAGCCCTGATAACTCTCTCTCTTTCTCTGTTGATTCCAGGTCTTTCGCTCACATGCACTTCTGCAGCTCAGCTGTCTCTCTCACCATCTCAGTCCTCTTTATCAGATCTTTCTCAGATGTCTCCCCTACATATTCTTATCTTACTCTCCCCCCTCTCTGATCCTAATCCACCTTCCTCTGCTAGCTCTCATGAAGCATATGAACTCGTCCTGACACTCGTACATTCACTCCCTTCTTACTACATACTGACAAGCTTATAAAGAAATGTGTAAAAGAACACGTGAAGACGACAAAGTCAAGATATTAGGGCATTGCTATGTGGTTGCTAGGGTTATCTGAGTGCTTGCTTTTACCCAAAGGGGCCTCATTGTATTTTTTATATTTCCATTTTGGTTTTAGTAATTTTGTTAAGTGCTTTTTCTTTTTTTATTAGTTATTTTACTCATTTTAATACTTTCATTTATTGCCAAGGCAACATTTTTAACACTATTTTTTTATTATTATTTCATCGTGTATATACATTTTATTTTATTTCAGCCTTATTTCAATGACAGAAAATGCTTTTTAATGATTTTTTAGTTAACAATAACAACACTACTCCATATACTCTTGGGATCACCAAATACTCAGGTAGTATTGCCCTTATAAGTGTAATGCTAATGCATCCCCACCTATAACTGTCACTCATCCAATCATTTTTAAAACAAAAGGTTTTAAAGTTTGCCATTGCATGTTTTTTTAAAAGAAAATTACCATCTGACTTAATGGATATTCTCCGGTTTCTCCTAGCATGAACATGCAACAACTCAAATTATGTAAAATACACTAAATAAATAATTTTAATAAGTATTAGTGCATATTAAATTGCTTTTTTTAGTAAGTACTAGTGATTCAAATCAAGTTATAGTGCCGCCGGCCTTGGCAAACACCACTAAAGTAATAAATGTGCTTTTCTGGGCTGTTTGTGTTTGAACACGCTGTAAAAACCCCACCCACCCCATCACCCACCTCCTCCCTCACTGCAGCTATCCAATTTCCACTTCTCCCCTCCCTCTCGTTCTTTTGATCTGTCTCTCTTTCTCACTCTCCGTCCTTTTCATAACAAAGATAAACCTGTCCAACAGCTTCACACCCTCAGAGAGCAAAAGAGCCAGGAATGCCGAGACCAAGACAGCTAGATGTCTTTCATTCTTCCTGTATTTCCTTCTTGTATGGAGTGTTTCGCTTTGTCTCAGAAGTGGCAGAACAAGCTTATGGCGTGAAATGAATGGTTTACATCATCGCAAAGTGCAATGATGTGGGATTTGCTCAGCAGGAAAAGAGTCAAAAGTAACTCGCACATACACACAGCTGTAAACAAAGCACAATAATCTGCGTCACAAGTCATGACCACTGAAGTAAGACACAACACAGATTAAGAAAGAGAAGAAGAAACAGAAATGAGAAGCAATACCATATATGGATTCATGGTTACTTAGCAACAAAAGAACCACCCACAACTCAAGTTTTCCAGGACAGTGTGAGTGATGATGGCTCAATGATGGCATCAGAATGTGTGTCTGTGTAAGTAGGCCTGTGGATGCCAGCAGCTGATGGAGCAGGGTCAAATTATAAAAAAAACGGACCAAAAAAATGTGAATATGCAGCTTGGATGAGTTTAATGTACAGCAAATGCAAAGGAAAAAGATTTGTACATAAACAAAATAAACCCTAACAGGGTGATCAAGATCTTCTAGGGTTTATTACAATGGGACTGATAAATAAATAAAATGACTGAATTATTTTAACATGTGAGAAGAATCATGAAGTCATATGAGAGACTAGCACTGCGATGTAAACTGCCATTTAAAAGTTTACTTTTTTTTTTTTTTAAATTCAACACTTTTATTCAGCAAGGACACATTAGGTTGATCATTGAATTGAATCTTGAAAAAAAGCATCATGGTTTCCACAAAAATATTAAGAGGCACAACTGTTTTCAACATGGATAATAATTTTAAAAAAGGTTCTCAAGCACCAAATTAGCTTATTAGAATGATTCTTGGATCATGTGACACTGTGAATGTCTGCTGAAAAGCCAGCTTTGTCATTACAGGAATAAATTACTATTTGAGATTAAAATATTAAAATAGAAAACAGTTCATTTGAGATGTAATATTTCATAATATTACTGTTTTTTGGATCAAATAAATGCAGTCTTGGTGAGCATAAAAGATTTCTTTCAAAAACATTTGAACAATATTACAGACGCTTTTGAACGGTAGGAAATAGTTTTTTAAACACTGTAGCGCTCATTACTAAAATATTTGACCATAGAATGCTGCCTTTGACCAATCAGAATCCAGAGTATTCCAGTATTCCAGAAATGTTGTTTGTATTACGAAAAAAAAAAAATAGAGAGATCCGGAGAAAAAAAACAACAACTTCCTGACAGTCATTCTCTCCGGACTGATTCATCCTGATTCACAGATCAGCCAGACATACACAAAGCGTTAATCACTTGGATAATGGGAGACTGAGTGGGAAATTGGAGATTAGCACAGAACTGCTGATGAAATGTATATTGTAGGATATCAGGCCTGTTTCTGCTGACTCTGGTCATTGTTCAGCAGAGACATAAAAAGCTATAGCTTTCAAATGAGATGATTCACATAAGCTAACGCCCTGTAAACACATATCATGGTAATTCACTGTAAGACCTTTCAAATAAAACAAAAAATACTTATTTATCCGAATGAACTCAAGGCACATTCGAAGTAATATACGTTTTATCAGAACAACTGTTCCTGGAAATTATGCCCATGACCTTGGTGTTGCTAGCGTCATGTTTTACCAATTGAGGTTCAGCAACAAGTCCAGCCTACTCAGTGCACAGATTGCTAGATCAGTCGGTGGACATGAGTTTCTATTCTAATCAAGGTAAACAAATGTTTCATCAGAGATATGAAGTCACTCAAAGTTTCAGTCTGTAACAGATCATCCATCCACACATAAAAACTTACCGAGCACGTGTCTAACCGAGATTCAGGCGGCAGACACAAAGACACCAGGAATTTGAGGGATTTTTCCAGATGAAATCTCTGGTATCATTATAGGAAGATTCCAGAGATACCAGAGATGCCAGTTTGACTCCTCTATCAGTCATCTATGAATGACTAGGACAGTGAGTGTATTATTAATTCAATTAGTGACATTTGAACAATGTCACAGTTCTATTTTTTTTTTTTTAGTTTCCAGAAACTAGAATAGTTTCTATTCTTCACCCTCAGAGTTTCGCTCATATTTTAAAAACATCCCCATTAGCATTATAGGTATATCTTACTCACATTTGGTCTCTTAACATTTAAAAGCCAAATATAGTTACTAACTTTCCACAGAAAACAAAAATCATCTCTCTAATGAGTCTCACCCATCAACTGTTCCAAGAGCCAACAATATAATTCTGAAACTGAAAAAAGTTTGCCAGACTGGAAGCTCTCTGTCAGAAATAACGAAACTACAATATTTCAGTAACCTTTTTTGATGATTTCTAAAAGCCTGAGGAGTTATGTATAATATAACAGGTTCTGGCTTTACTGTATATGTGCATGTCAATGTATCTTAGATTCACCACTTTCACAAAACAAAAGTTGGTGGTGTACAGATAAGGAGCTAAAAATAGCTGTAATTTCTAATAAATAGTTTCATTCTGACTCAGTTTTCAAACATTTTCATAATCTTCATTCTTGCATGCCAACTGAAGCTGAAGTATCACTACAGATCAACAGCAACTCAAGAACATCGCAGTTGTAAATATAATGTTGAGAGGTTCCTTACTGGTAATCATAAACTCCTAATCAGTGTGTTTTACTGGAGGAATATCAGTAGATAACCGGCAGCACAAGACCTCATGTCTGCTACAGGACAATAAAGTTGATAATAAAGTGTTGGTGCACAAACACTTCTCAAAAGCCCTTCCCCTAACCTTTGAGTCATACCCTTGGGAAAAAGTAGTACACTTAAGTATTCTTTTTAATATGCTACTTATGGAAATCATATACTTTAAAAGAATATACTTAAGTGCAAACTAGGCCTACATGTAATGCTTTTGAACACTTAACTGCATGTTATTTGCAAGAAAATGAGATTCTATTACAGGCTAAATTTATATTAATTGCTATTAGCTGAACTTAGTAGTGCTTTTCTGACATACTTAAGTAGGACTTACATCTTTATACGGAATTTCATACATCTATTGTTTGGGAAATATGGTTACAGTTGTACTGCTGAATTTATGGTAAATGTATGTCATAACTTTTTAAAAATATATTTGTAACTACACATTTGCAATGATAACGTTGCAATTCAGTATAGGCCTACTTAAAATATATTTACTTGTATGCAATATCAATTTAGGTCAAATTAAAGCAACCAATGTGTGGTTTAGTGTTTTACTCAACACTAGGCTAATTAAGCATACTTCTTTAAAGCAGGACAAAAGGTTTGTTAAAAAAAACAGAAATAAAAAAATTATACCAAAAAAATTTACTTTTAGCGTTAAACTTGTTATTAATTTTACATCATTACAAAGTGTACTTAAGACACGTAGTCGTGGAAGTGGACTTTAAGTACACTCAAGTGGCGTTTTACTTCATTAATATTAGATTGTCTAAAAGTGCTGTACCATGTTAAGATTTAAAGTACACTACGAGTGCACATTCAATACAATTAAACTCAACACATAGGCAACAGATCAATCTATATAATGGGACTTTGAAAATAATAAGGACTAAAAGAGTTAGGGAAAACTGGACACCTACCCCTGTCAGTTCACCAGGACTGCCGATCATGCTGGGGGACAGACTGGTGGGCTCAATGTCACTGCCCGTGAAATCATCCTCCGATTCCTCAAACGACGAGGCAGAGGATAATCCAGCAGAGGAGGAGCTGGACAGTTTCCTGTGGAACAGAGAGGGCGCAGGGGAGCCTCCGCAGCCGCTGTCCGAGCAGGGCGAGTCCTCGTCGGGATGCAGGTCCAGTGAAAAGCCGCCCATGCTTAAAGTCAAATCACTGATGTGCGGACTGTCCTGACCGGGTCCTAAATCATCATGGGTGACTATTAGTTTGGGAATAATCCTAGGGAACGGGTTTGAGGCGTGTTGCTCCACTTCTCCACCCAGCCGACCTGATACGGAGGGTTGCAACGTACTTTTGGTCATTTGATGGTTTGCTAACGGAGACGAACAACTGAAGTCTACTAAAAAGTCTGGTGTGTTCAGGCACTGGGTCACATTTTCCTCCGAAACTCTGCCTGGAGTCACGGCACCTCCTTCTGACACTCTTTCCATGTCCCACGGCGAGACGCAACACTCATGGTTCTCCTCACGTACTCCTTTCTCTCCGCTTTGGGGACCTGAGACGGAACTCTCAGAGTCAGTGTCCCGATTCAGAAGTATCAAGTTGTCGGTCGCATGCGGATTACCGGAAGAACTCGCGTTTGAAATAAGTTTTTTCGGCTCATGTACTCTCACATCCACAAAAGTCGTCCCCTCTTTATAACCGCCCCGCCAGCACTTCTGAACAGATTGCAGCTCTTTGGTTTTCATCGGATTTTCGTCTAAGCGGTCACCGGTATGCGGCGAACAAAACACTCAAAACACTCGCACGCGCGCTCGTGTGGAGCTCGCGAGTGCAGCGTTGTTACAGCGGTGTGAAGAGCAGCCGCCGTTGCTGGATGATGATTGGCCCATACTGCGTACCGTACAGATCACTCACACGGCCCTTTAAATGCCACGCCCACCGCCCAACGCCGCTGCTCTGGCCAAGGTCTTTAAAGCGATAGTTCACCCAAAAATGAAAATTCTGTCATCATTTACTCACCCTCAAGTAGTTCCAAACCCGTATAAATGTCTTTGTTCTGCCGAACAGAAAGGGAGATATTTTGAAGAAAGTTTGTAACCAGGCTGTTTTGGGGCACCATTGACTTCCATAGTAGGAGAAAAAAATACTATGGAAGTCAATGGTGCCCCAGAAATTGCTCTGTTTCCCACATTCTTCAGAATATCTTCCTTTGTGTTCGGCAGAACAAAGACATTCATACAGGTTTGAAACTACTTGAGGGTGAGTAAATGACAGAATTTTCATTTTTGGGTGAACTATCCCTTTAACCCTGCACAGCCTGACATACGAAATATGTATTATTATTATTATTATTATTAAGACTTTATAAAAAATTATTTCACAGCAAAAAGACATGTCATCTGTACCACAACCTGAAAGGGACATTTCTAGAATTACTAAAAGGTCTTTTACTTGCTAAAAAAGTATGAACTATCAATCAGAGGGCAGATGGTACGTATGTACATATTTCTCAGAAGTACTGATCATACTCATCATTCAGAGACCTTAGAAATGCATGTATTAAATATGATACACTAAGGTTTATAGGGCTTCTGTTGAGGCAATATGCAATATTTGTAATAACGAAAAACTATGCAATATTTGTAAAGACGAAAAACTATGGCACAGGATATTATAACAGGAACAAGGCAATAATTGCAAGGAAGAGAAAATATCTCATATCTCAAATATAGATATGCTCATTTTTATTTCTTTTAAAACACATACACGTGGTCATGCCATAAATTGCTATTGCTTTTGTTGTTTTTAAAACGAATTGCTATCGAAAAATATATTTTAACCTAACCAAAAGAATATTGTACAGTTATGAATCACACCCCCTACACACACATCAATAAATGTCACTCACTCGATCACGACAAATATATGTTGTTATTAAACAAGCAAGTTTATAAAGTTTAATAAGTGACTTATAAGTGGTTCCAACACTTACCAGAAGTGCTCTTCATCAATAAAATGCCATATAAATCATAGGGGAAATGTTTAACTAGCTAAGTCATTTGACTTAATGAGATAATGACTATGTGTACGATATAAACAGTACCATCATTTTTGTGGCTGGATTGAGGATCGCAGCTGTATTATTCTTCCAATGCATTTGGATATTTGTCTCCCTCTAGTGTTTAAAGAGGGGACGTACAACGTCTAAACCTTCTATAAATAAAATGGTAACATATTATGATATCTGTTGTTGTTGTTCCACAGAAGAGTAAAAGTAACACAGATTTGGAACGACATGAAGGTGAGTAAATAATGGCAGAATTTGTATTTTTGGCATGAACTATTCCATTAACTAAACAGCATTTGTAAAAACTACACCACCCTGCATACATACTTGCTCAACTTTACACAGGTATTAGCCAGAGGTGTAAAGAGTACCTAAAAACCATACTTGAGTAAAAGTTCAGATACTTTACAGTGAAAATTACTCCACTACACGTTACTAGTCTCCAATTCCAAATCAACTTGAGTAAAAGTCTAAGAGTATCTGATTTTAACAGTACTTAAGTATTTTACTTATACTAAATATAGGCTCAAAGATGCACTAGTCAAAGAGACATGCCAGTGATAAACTGTAATGTTGTGGAGAAGCTGCAGAAAACAGGCAGAGGCAAGGATCTATGTGCTGGTATTTCATGGAAAAACTAGAACAAACAATAAAGGAAAAACCAAAGGGAACAAAGAACAGAATGACTGGCAAACAGACAACCATTACATTCAACTGCTCACAAAGAACTAAAGGAAAAACTAGGGCTATATATACACACAGGGGGCTAACAAGCTTAACAAGATTAGACACACCTGGGGAGACTAATCAAGGGCAACCAATGAACAAACGGACTACAAACTGACTACAAACACCACAGGAGACAGGAAGTGACATAAAAGTCCAGGGCAAGGCACAGAGAGCATGAAACAAAATCAAGAAAGAGTTGATTTGTGAGGAGAGCAATCACGTTTATTTTCTAAAACCAAAATAAAACTGAACACCTCAAAATTACAAAACAAACCAAACCAAACAAAAAACAATATCTTTCAAAATGGTCTCTTCAGAATAATGGATAAATAAAATAATGTTAAGTCAAATGAAAAAGCCGAAGCCTTCTTGCAGTGGATGTGCTGGTTTGGGCCTCACGTCCTCATCTCGTATATAAAACACCTCATATATAAAACGCTAATATCTTTGATACTCAGTACAACTACAAAGTACCCGAAAAGATACTTAAGTACAGTAACTAAGTACATTTACTCCAATACTTTACACCTCTGGTATTAGCAAACTGTATTACTGTAAGTAACCTGACACAATGACCACAGGACACCTCTCAAGACAAGACCACACTTTTACACCACAATTACACCACAATTACAAGCTATTCAGTACAAACCACAAAAGAGCAAGAATTGTTACATCAATAAAAGGCATTAAGTTTACTTGATTTTTAATATTAACAAAATGAAACAGTCAAATGAAATGGAATGAAAATTGTACCAATGTGAACAGTTCTGTAAATACTGATATATATGTATAGATTGCTGTATTATTGTGGCATAACACTTTCTGAGGTACAGGAAGTGTGAACTTAAGTGAGAAGAGCTCTCGCTGTGAGGCTGCATGACAGACCACAATGATGGCAAGCCATTCTTTCTGCCTGACCTATATTAACACTGATGCTTAGAAAACTAAATAAGGCTATACATCAGGCAAGTATTTCGGGTCTGTTAAGGTTTTTACTCTCATCGCTATGTCAGAGGAAATAGCCAGTAAGTAGTCCTACAGTTTAATCTTCACTCTTGTTCAAAAGTTTTCAGTAAGTAAGAAAAATCTTTTGAAATAACTTAATACTTATTCAGCAAGGATGCATGCAAATAATCACCAGTAAAGACATTTATGATGTTACAAAAGATTTCTAATTTAAAGGGGTCATAAGATGCAATTTAAATTTTTCCTTTCTCAATGTAGACATTTTATGTTTACGCGGCGTGATGCAACGCAACGCGTAAAAAGACAATATAAGTAATTATAATCTATAATTATGTCCCCACTGGATGCAACAAATGTCTCGTTTATAACGGGTTTTAATATTTTTGAATCATGGCTCCGGCCTGACACTGCATCACAGTATGGTAAGGGCTTAACATTTCCGTCACACGCTTGAGGTATTCGACCAATCACAACGCACTGGATGGCTGGCCAATCACAGCACACCTTGTTTTTCAGACCGATGAGCTTTGTAAAAATCGACACGTTTCAGAAAGGCGGGGCATAGAGGAGAAACAATGTACAGTATGTGGAAAATAATGGGGGTTTTTTTACCTTAAACTGCATAAACACATTTCATTACACCAAATACACAAAATAATGTTATTTTTAGCAACATCATATGACCCCTTTATAAATAAATGGTTTCTATTCATCAAAGAATTCTGAAAAAAAAAAAAAAATAACCACAAGAAATATTTCCACAAAGAATATTAAGTAGTTCTGTCACGCATCCGGTCCATGAACTTCCGTCTGCTTACCATCAGAGGTCACCCTTTCCATTACATTGACTCTCACACTACACTACTGTTGCTTATCATCCCGGACTACATATCCCATCATTCATTGCACTGATTGCACTCAGCACGGATTGCACACAGCTGTTTTCACTGATTGCACACAGCTGTTTCACATCACTCACTCACTATATTACACTCACTCAAACTACCATTCACAGCCGAGTATTGCTTAGCCTGTTAGTTTTCCTAGTTCCTGTTATCCTTCCTGTGTTTCCTTGGTTTGCCTTGTCGGTTTTCTCGGTTCTGATATTTGCCTGTCTCCCTGGATTTATCCGTCTAGTCTCGCCCCTGTGATTCTGTCTGCCAATTGGTGACCTACGCTAGCCCTAGGACTATTCTTGTGTTTTGCCCGCCATATACCCGTTTGCCTTTGTTCGACCCTGCCTGCTATGACCACGTCTCTGTCTTCTGTTCAGAATAAAGCTTGCACATGGATCCACACGTCTCACGTCTTGTCCGCCCCGTAACAAGTTCAGCTATGATTAAAAAAAAAATCAACTTATAAGAATGAGTTCTGAAGGATTGTGTGACAATGAAGACTGGAGTAATGGCTGCTAAGACTTCAGCTTTGCCTTCACATGAATAAATGACATTTTTAAACATATTTAAATAGAACACAGTTATTTAAAACTGTAATATTTCACAATATTCATGTCTTGCTGTATTTTTGTTCAAATAACAGAATAAATCACACTAGAAAAAAAATACATCGTTCAAATTATTTAACATTACTGTTTTAACAGCTTAATGACACAGCAATCTAATAAACACTAAACGTGTGCTTACCAATTCCACCAATATCAGATTTTCCTCAGTCTGTTTTGCTTGCGAAACGTTTGCTAAACTGATGGCTGAAGTCAACATTATTAACCTACTTTTTCTTACTCATGAATCAGCCAATAAGCTCAACTGAAACACACCCTTCTCACCGGAGACAACCTTTGCTTCAAGTAGGAAAGAAGTCAGCACTGGACAGCTGAATAAGTTGATAAACACCTCAAGAGGTTTATGAACATTTCTGAACTTAAGATAACATTTACTAGTCCTCATTGTCCCTTCATAGTGTCAGGAGGAGCTCATGGACAAAATGAGAAACTACTAAAGAAATCACATAAGACTGCATTTAGTTTGATGACCACAGAAACAAAATGAATGTGGAAATTCTCAAGTGTTACAAGAGAGCGGATGACACCTAGATGATTCGCCAGTATTTTAGGGATTGAACAAGTATGCTTTATTAAAATGATCCCAAGTTACTCAACAAATACAGTCATCACAATACAAATCACTGACGGAGGATAAATGTCACAAGAGTTTTACTAAATGTCACACGAT